ATATTAAAGGTGCTCTATGTAACTTTTCTGGTGGAGTATCCATCATCAGTTTGTCTCATGAAAATATTATTGCTTTACTTCATAGCATGGTAAACTGAACTTCATTTAATTATAGGCATTTTACCTGCCAAAAAACTGATAGTGTCACCAGTCCTGTTTATCTCCATGGAGACTGCAGGCTTTTAAAAAAATATATATATTGTAGCAGCCTGCAATAATGTAATTGTTAAAACATTGTTCCTGTTTTTATAACTGTTATTTTATGTGTTATGTTAAGTTCATGACCTATGTGACTGGATGAAAGTTGGGAGGAAGTTGTGTTAAAAAGAGCGGTTTAGAGGAGTTTTTTTTTTGTTTTTGTTCTAGAGAGCAATGCAGTCCGAGTTTTAAGCTGGACCTATTGGACTTTTAACCTGATTGTACTGGTGTGGTTACGGCCCGAGAGTAACCAGTTCAGTTCTCACAATAAAGCAATAAACCATAAGATGCTACAATATATTTTAATCAAAACAATAACATCTCCAAGGACAAAAGAAGGTTTCAGACCCTCCACCTACAAACATACATAGTGCCTCTTTAAATTAGTAAAATGGGCACATAATTAATAAAGAGGCAAAAAATGGAAATGTGCCCCTCCTTTTGCCTCTAGCATTTGTGTAATCTTCAATTTATGTTAATTTGTTCATCAAGTTGTTTTCTTTAAACTGAATACTTAATATTTGAAGCTTGCATGTCTCCAGTATTTTAATTCTTATCTCCAAAATGGCACCTGACATTTGGTCCCTTATACATTCTTTAAACCCTTCATTGTCTTTGGCCTTCCCTATGAAAACTGAAGGTGAAGTTTTGCCTCCTTTGTCCTTGTTTAAACTGTAATATGCAGAACCATCATGAAAATTACATCACCTATTGCACCACTGAGATTTCTTTTATTCCACACCTTAACCTCTGGAGTTATATGAATATGTGGGGTGTATGTGAACTTGAGTCTTGGGACGTTGCCAGTTCATCAAAGCACTGATATAGAGACATGAAGAAAGAACTGTAACATGTATTCACTTTGGAATATTCAGGACAGATTTACTTTTCTGGTTTAAGTCCATGGTGTAGATTTGGTTTGGTCCTCGTCTAGTCTAGGTTTAGTTCCAAGTTTTATCCCAATTTTAATGAGTGAATGCACCCTTATAGCCACTAATTTCAGAGACGTGAGCTTTTAGATGGTGAGAGAAGCCATAGTACCCAGATGGAACACATTATAAGTAACCCGGAAAGCACATGCAGACTCCCATTTGAGAACACATTACTGGCAAAGTGCTCAAATTATCCACCCAAACACAGTAAAGAAATCATTTAAGAAACCTTTCTGAAATTAGACAAGACGCACATTGCATTCTGCCAAAGTTGTCAGTATTTTATTCTTTATGGTCAGTTAAGGCAATCCATTACAAAGCATTTCACAAACCACAGCATCACGACAAAATCATGTCCAACACCTGGTTTGGAAATATTCAGCATGCAAAAGTCCAAGAGGTATGTAAACACCCTGGGATAGAACGGGAGGAGTGGCCCAACTCAAAACAGTGGTGGTTTCGCAAGTGAAATCTCAATGGAAAACAAAGAAAGCCGAGATGCATCATGCGGAGTGCGGCTGCTATCAGTAACATTGTCCCAGCTAATCAACCAGCTATAAACTATAACAAGAGGGGGATGAGACTAGCATTTGGCACAAGCATGCACATCGCCTACAAGAGACCAAGGGATGGGTTTGGCACTGGTTATATTAAATACAGTGATATATGTACAACAACAAAGTGATGTGGAAATACACCAAATCAGGCATAACATTATGACCACTGTGTTTTCAATACACTTATTTTTAGCATGAAAGGCATATATCTAGACATAACTTATTTTGAAGTATGAAAAATTTGTATTGTGATGTGTATGAAAAGTATTTGTGTCATATAGGGATGTAACAATAACCAAAATATTGTGATATCGTCAAAAGTCTCATAATAATATTGTAGGCTGTCACAATATATCAGATCACAAGTTCCTTTGCTTAAATGGATGGTTTTATAGTAGAAACATTTTATAAACATAGGGAACTACATCTCCTATGATTCATTTCAGTGCAGAAAACATGAAGAAATATGTTTTTTACTTGAATTCTTGGGATTCTGATGGAAATAATTCACACCGAAATCTTCATCTTCGTCAAGGTATTTTAAAAGCAAAAAAGTGTCCTATGTACATTTATATTAACCTCTCCATAATATCACAATAAATATTGTACCATGAGATGCATATTGTGATAATAATGTACCAAAAGATTTAGATATTGTTACATCCCTAGTGTCATATTGACAAGGAACAAAATGTGGCTAAACAACTAATCAGAGAATCAACAAATCTGAAGTACTTAAGTTAGTCAGAAATAAACAAGCTTATGCGGGATATGAAGTGTTCCATTTCAGTAAATTGCTAACATGATTGCCAGTTCAGGTACAAAATTAGTACCATACAATAAAATAATAAAATGATATAATAACGCTATAGTAATTAACATATAGCAGGTCATAATGTTTTGTCTGAAAGGATAATCAAAGTCATATCCTTTAATAAAAACATGATGCGCTGCTGAAGAGGCATCTCTGAGGAAAACATAATAAAACGTATATTCAAATCAGATGTGCCGTAATTGCATAAGTCTCATTACTGTGCTCATTCATTCATATAGTCTTCAAAATGGTAAGAGTGGTTTTCGTGCAGAGGTAACAGCCCTCGGGAACATTAAAACATATTTTCAGGAGTTGGCAAACATTATGTCAAAAAAAAAAAGCACACATAATAAATGGCCCCTGTCTCCTGTTTGTGTCTCATCCCCTCACACACATTTGCATGATCTGCTTCATTATTCACTTTCACAGCAAAGCCTGTAAACAGCAAAAGTGAAGGTTTAGTCTGAACAACTCCATCAACAATCCAAATGCAACTAAGAGACGAGGTTAATTGCAAAGTTCATATCTCATGAAATGGCATTTAAAGTTGAATTCATAATAGTGTTTCAATTAAACTATACATAATAATAGTACTTATCTTTTGGCTTGATAGGCTTTTTGTCGAGGTATATTGGTATTTTATGAGAGTTATGTAACTAAATATAATGGCCTCATTTCACCTAATGTACAAGTGATTTTGGCAGAAAAGTAAATGACTTCTGAGGGAGAAATGTCATAATTAACACAAACCTAAAACATAAAAACTCTACGAATCTAGGCCTAGGAGCTTGTGCATTATTGACTTGGAGTGGAGCAACATTAAAGCAACATTATGCATGATAGAAATATTTGCTAATGACAATATGATGCCAAAACAAACAAAACAAAACAAACTAAGTTTATAGTTCACATTCTCAGAAGACCATCCAGCACGTCTTTGTAAACTTTTTCAAAAAAACATAATCTAACAAACAAATATAATGTAGATATCATAAGCCTATCTCCCTCTGTGTGACCACAGTTCAGTTGTAAACTTTATAAACAGATACTGAGCCGCATTACTTTTAATGCACAAAGATTCTCATTTGTGGAGCTGTATAGGAGTACAAAACAGAACAAGCCAGCTGCTGTATTAAACCTAATCTTGCAACAGTGATATTGTTACCACAGAGGTTTTCCTTTAAAGAAGCAGAAACCTGGGAATTGGGATATGTTTCCATATAAGAGGCACATTTGGAATATAGATATCGAATGTGTTGGAGGAGGTACAGGTGAAAATGGTCTTTAAGAAATACGTTGTGTACAGTCACAAAAGAAGACCTTTTTAAGTTAATACAGCTTTAAAAATACAGCTTTTGTTTTTATGTAATCTCAATATTTTCAGATCAGTGGTAAAATGATCAGAATGAGCTAATACAGTTTGTGCAGTATAGTGTGTTGTCAGCAAACATATAATTTTCTGTTGCAAGATTTGCTTTTGTACATTCTGGGACTATGATCATATATAACATAATGGGTATATGTTGACATCATTTTTGCAAAAAGTTAAAAGTAGGGTCCTTAAAAAGTACTACAAATAAGCCAACACAGCAAACATAATGGAAAGAAATGCAGTGGTCCAATGATATACAGTAGTCTCCCTGTGTGCTCACAATGGCAACATATTTTGAATTATTTATGAATTTATATGGAAATAACAGCTGGTATGATAATTTTAACAATAGCAGTGGTGTTGGAGATGGAAGACGTAGCTGCAAACACAAACCACAATACTTTCCATTATGCCTATTGTGGTGCATTCAATGACTCTTTGTTCATTACGGTTGTGCTTTGAATAGGACAGTAGTGCATTCTGTTTTTATAAAGACTAGAAATATCGGTAAAAGACGTGATGCTGGAAAATCTGTATATGGAAAAAAACATTGCAGCAGGTCCTCCCTTATCATAGTCTAAAATACATCAGCCAAAACGATTGATAAACATGCTCTTATAATACAGTTCTTATCAAAGATAGAAATGACTTTTATTATTACACTTGTCACAAAATATAGGGATGGAAAACTACAAGGAGTTATGACTTTGATCCCTAACCCTTTCATAAAACTCCGGTAAAGGAATAAATCATTTCTGAAATAAATAAATGAACTATACATTGATTTCCTATTTGAACACACTTGACCCAAAAGGTATCACAGACATGATACACACATTCTAATATTGTATGGATGCCTTCAGGACAGGCCCTCTACGGGATTATTTGCTAACGCCAGATTATCACCACTTGGACAGGTAACAGCACACCACTAAGCTTCGTATCTCAAGCCAACACACGCGTCTCCACATGCCGTCGACCTCCATCAATCCAGGCTCCAGACAAAATGGAGTCTCAATATTCAGCAAAGAGCCTTGAAGAGCGTCTGTTAAAGGATCATTGTTTGGTGGAGCTGGCTGTCTGGTCCACCACAGTGTAGTGGGGTGGGGGGATGAGGACAGGGAGGGTCACACGGGTTTGGTCTGGGACTGGTCTTCAGACAAGTACAGAGGGGGCACGGGGTTGGGTTTGATGGCCCTGCTCTTCATGTACAGGATGAGCTGGTCGGGGATCTCAGCTAACACGTCTTTAGCTAACCGTGCCATGCTCAGGACATGGTTGCCCGTGCGGTCCATGTAGTCTCTGAACGGGACAAACTGCAGGAGGCAAAACAGGTTATAATTAGTAGGGATGTAACAGTAAACTAAATATAGTGATGTTGTATCATCAAAAGTCTAACAATAATACTGTGGGTCATCACAATATAGCGACTTACAAGTTTCTTTGCTTAAATTAATTGTTATGGTGCAACCACAGGTAAAAACCAGACAGAACAATATATGTACCATGATTCTTTGCTCTGTTTCAGTCCAATCTACATGATGAAATTACTGTTATTATGCACTTTCAAATCTCAATTATTTGGATTATGACAGAAAAGTATATTCACAGTTATGTTAGTCTCCACACAATATTGCAATAAATCTCATAATGTGAGCTGCATATCATGGAAATATCATATTAAGAGATTTGAATATTGTCCCATTCCTAGTAATTAGTGCACTTAACACACAGCACCACACACAAAGCAGTTGCACTGCATTGTGGAAAAAATTGAAGCAATTTGTGATTTAATTAAAAGACCCAGGCTGCTTCAAATCGGAGGGGATTTGGGCATTTCATGACATGGACCAGTCTGAAAATCTCACTAAGACAGCAGCAGCATTAGGAATGAGCTGACCTCATCTTGGGGTTTGATTTTTTTCCATGTTGATCCAATAGGCAATTATGTCTGTTTCGATTGGAAGCCAATTTTCTTTCTACAATTTTTGTCTGTCAACAAAACTACTTTAAGATACCATCATGAATTTGTATTAAGAATTGATTTTCTTGTTGGCTGTTATACAAAACAGCTTGAAACTTGGCATTTGTCCATGGTTTTGCCAGATTTTGTAAAAGATTGGTGCTGTTGTCATTCTCCACCTCTTTTATTGTTCTTAAGTCCTCATTTCCATATCACGTTATCGTCTAAATTCAAAGATTAAAATAAGTAAATGTAAAAATCAGGTCTCAGAGTTAGCAGGATGTCTGTGCCTATACTGTAGTGTAATGTGGGAATAGAGCACTGTCCTTGTTTGTTCTGTTCCTCTGTAACCCAGCATCAATTTGTGATTTGTTGAAGTAATCCAGCGTCTGACAGGCACAGCTGCTCTCAGGCCTGTACACTGTGATCACATCTGGGGCTCTGTGGTTTTGGGCTAAATGTTTATGGCGGCAAAGATAGATTTGTTTTTGTTTACCTGTACAATATCTCTTCAGCGAGTTTGCCTCGAGAGGAAATCCGCACGTCATCTCCATCCAGCTCCACCATGGCTACACACAAACATATTTATGGGTATATTATACACACTGCCACAGTAAGGTGCAAAAGTTTTTAAACAAATGAAGGATGCCACAAAGTTCAACACTGAGCAGAAGTATTAGCATTCAGGGAGCTAGATCTCTGCCAAGGCACTGGCTGTAATGCATTAAAAGATAATCTAAGAGGAAGAATGTTTATTTTGATCCAGAAAATACAAAAAAAACCAAACAAACAAACAAAAACAAAAAAACAACTGTGATTGAACCAAGGCTAAAACAGAGATAAAACAAGGAGTTAAGACCGGGGTGTCATACACAAATTCATAGAGGGCCAAAATTAAATACTAGGACTAAGCTGTGGTGAGATGTCTCTGTAGATGTTGGCCAGCTCTATACAAATTTGATATGATCTCGAGGGCCAAATATAATGATATTGCAGGCCAAATTTGGCCCCCAAGCCTGAGTGTCTGACTTAAGAGGTCAAAAATACTATTTGCTACTACCTACTATTTAATACTTTCTACTACACCAACAGAAACATCTAACAATGTAAATAAATAAAAAAAAGTGAAAAGTACTGTACAACTTGTCATTATTCAATGCACCATTTAATACAAATATATCTCTTACCATCAAACTCAGCTTGTCCAACTCCCACTATGATGATGGACATTGGCAGTTTAGCAGCCTGACATAAACAAGAGATAAAACATATCTTATACAACATGCATTTTATATATATAAAAATACCAGGTTATATATTTCTCCAAAACTGTGATGCTAAAAAATATAGAAACAATGAAATGATGCATTTGCATATGGTGGCTGATGAGTCTCAGTTTGAAAACAGTTTTGGCTTATCAAAGAAGACAATACATAAACACCAGTAGTTTTAAGTGTGCCAAACAGTGTCCATATATTACACATATTGCCTATGTATTGTCTAAAGTGTACTATACACACATGCATAGTAGCCTGTAGGAGAGTTACATTTGCGTGACTCAGAGTACCCACAGTTTGATGACATAATGAAAACGTGAATGAAGTCAAATGGTGCATTCTTAAAACATGATTACAGCTGCCACTTACTTACCTTACACAGACTAGACATGAGTTATTCATAGTGTTTGGATAATTCAAACACTTTCATAAACCTCACTTTACAACAAGTACACAGTATCAGTATTGGACATATACTGTACATAGTGTTATCTACCAAAATATTTATTCTTGGATTGAGGACATTACTCTGAAACAGTGTTACAGTGAGAGATTTTTAACTTTTTGGCCAATTTGGACAGTTTAGTTTGACATTAACTGGATACTGCTTACTTGGCCAATTGAAAACCACATAGTATGGATGGCCTTTTACTCTTTATCTAGTAAAGACAGGACATAAACAGTCATGGAGTCAATCATGCTAAGTTAATACATCTGCCATTCAGCTTACATGAAATCCTAAAAGTTTTGTAGGTTTCTATCAACTAAACATCATACAGAATCCAAAAGGTAGCCTTTCAATGTCTATGTTTTAATACAATATTGCTTAGTAATTTTGTAATATGTTTACAAATGAAATTATTCATAAATACATGTTTATTTATGTATTTATTTGCTGTTTATTTTTAAACTAGCCATTACCCAACAGCCAAACATGTATGTGACTGGTACATGTTCTGGTAGATTCACAGGAATTATTGAAAAGTGGGTCAGTTCCTGGAAAACCCCCTGAGGGACCACCCCCAGTGAACACTCCGTGTTTCATATCAGCAGCCCCTCTGGTTCATGTGGCTTTAGTCTCTCTCCTCTCATTCAGCACGACCTCTCACTCCAGTCCATAATACAGACACTGTGTTTGGCCTTTTCAGTGGAGACCTCACACGTACAGTACAGATATCCTCCAAATGCCACAGCGGTCTTTCAAAGCTGAATTATTTAGACGACACCATTTGTTACTTCGTCTGAACTACAGAGCCATCCATCACTTCTGCATCTTTGTTCATAGGTGAAAGGTGAGGCTCTCTTCTGGGATTGTGTTTTTACTATAGGCCTATAAGATAAAATGGGATTTTATTCTTGTAAATGTTTGAATTAATTAATGAATCCATCTTAGATTATTGGAAAAGCAGCAAATCTGACAAATCTCTGTGCTCCATCTGCATATAATTGTGAAACATTTTTATTGATCTTTTACCTGCTCTAAAGTGGTGCACGCTCACAATCCATGCATGTGAATGCTTGTGATATTTGTAATGTCTTGTGAGAGCTATGAACTAGTTACAAAGCTCCAGCTTCAAGTTACATAATGCAAATAAAATAATATAAAATTATAATAATACAATTATAAACTGTTTTATACAAATGGCTCTGTTTTCTGAATCATAAATGATATACTCAGTTATTTGCTAATTATGTTTTACAGACTGACTTGACAGTTGAAAAGTAGCTCAATATTCTCTAGTGGATTGTTTTTACTGCAGTTCAGGATATATATTTTTTGAATATATTCGAAAGTTATACTCACGAAAGTACAAAGACATCGGTGTCTCTTGTACATGCTGGATGATGAGGATTTCTCTGTTTTGTAGCCTTTTGAAACTTGAAAAAGATATTCACTCTCCTCAAGTCTGAACTAAAATCACATTTTATCTTCTGTTCTAGCCACATGGGGCCATTTCCACACAGAGCTTTGTCACTTTTGATATAATAATCATGCTCCTCTGTTCTACTGACAGTAAATTTAAGTTCATCCAAGTTTCTTTTCCATCATGGCAAGACAGAAAACTTCCATCAACAGAGGACCTTAGGTACATTTGGTCACAAAAAAACCCGATGACAAAAGACAAAAGTGTCCCCAAAGTCCCAGTACATCCCTTACACAAACAAAGAGACAGAGGGAGCAAATATAACCCTCAGTCGGCCCTGGCCTCCTCTGTCCGGCACACAGCCTGAGGTCAAAGGTCACAGGCTTTGCTCAGTCAGCAGGAGGAGGGGCACACAGGTCAAGAGCGGCCCAGAGAGAAGCACCACAGAGCTGCAGCAGCGCAGAGCAGCAGACAAGATCTTAAAAGGAAGGTGTGGCTGTTCGAAAGGTTTGATTAACAGTCGCAAATTCCCTTTAAACCCAGTCTGCTGGGGGTCTGAGGCTGAGGAGACCAGAGGCTTCATTATAGAGGTCTTCACAAATGCACAAACTACACAAACAAACACAACCTGAAATGTCATAGACAAAGCCCACAGGGATCTGCTTTAGCTGCACACCTGCTGACCTGTAAATACATCTCCCCTGAACCAGACGGCACCCAAAGGTCTCATCCAAAAAAGAAATACTGAACAAACAAACATTGAGCTGAAGTCTGCAAACAAGTGGAGAAGAAAACATTCTCAAATCCTTAAATCCAACGCAGTCTGCATTAGAGCCGCCACAGGACACAAGTTTACTGTGCGCTCTGGTGTGGACACCTGTGGGAGACAGAGTAGAGAGTCCTCACACTTTACTCACATTCACAATGGCCTCCTTTGTCTGAGCCATATCTGATATGACGCCATCCGTGATGATGAGAAGTACAAAGTACTGTGAGCCATCCTGAACGGCTGCTGCATATCTGCAACACACACAACAATACGCATTCAAGTAAAGTTTGCTACAATAATCTAGTTATAAAGAACATGTAAAACACAATCAGTGTGACTAAGTATAAATCTTTCTCTCTAGTATTCTATCTGTTATTGAAACGGTGATTCCAGAAGTGAAAGTGCCAAATCCAAAAGAATAAGACCCTGTTTGTGACTCTGTGAGGGCATTTTGAGTTTTTTGTTTTGGTTAGCCTATTTTCATAAAGAATATTTTGGATGCAACATAAAAGCTGCAAGTGTCTGGCAGTGTAGTCTATTGGACATGGCTTAAAGCAGGGCACAGCGGAGTGAGTTATGAGAGAGGCTGAGGCATGTTGGCGGAGTTATCTTAAGTCTAGCGTTGTGTTTGCAAACAGAAGAAAAGCCGGAGCCGCGAGTGCAACTGCTGTGTCAAATATGAAGTGTTAGGAGACCTCCCACTCAGACTGCAGAGAGAGTGACACAGGAACTTAATATAGATGTGTATGAAACAGCTTAATGTATTTCCCCAGGTGTATCCAGGCTCCACCAGTGACAAGCAGCCAGTGTGGCCTACTTTGAAATGCCCAACTTTGCCATGAATTATTTATCAAACTGTTTATGCAAGAGCTGCAGTCTCATTCTTTCAGAAGTTTATTGATTTCTGAGATCCGCGTTGACCTCTCTTGATGAGCGCTCAGAGAAAACATGGCAGGTTGATCCTCAAGAGCCAAGGACAGGTCAGCGGTGGCGCGGCACTGTTGATCACAGCTTTATAGTTTTGACGCACAGAGAAAGGAGTTTTAATCAGAGTCTGGTTATACAGCGACAGAGAGAAGAGTGATGGTGGGTGTTCAGGAGATTAAATTGTTTTTATTTTGTCTGCAGCGTTCAACAACAACAGCAGTCTGCATGCAAAAGACACAGCAGGTGAGGTGGTGTATATAAATCATTAGAAACGGCTGGTAGAAAGAGGGAAAGACATTATGAGTAGATATGGAAATGCACCTTTGACAAATTAATATTATATTTATGTAACGTGTATTGTGTAGGGCATGTCAAGAAATACTAAACATGTCACTAGATTGGAATATCATGTTGGGGCGGGAGTGACAGCGGTGGAGCAAGTGGCCCACTAATCAGAGCGTTAGCTGTCGGATGCCCGCTCTGACCTTGTGCAATAATGTAATACAACTGGCAATACAACACAAAGGCGTAATGGTTAAATAAAATATAATAAACTTGAACTGAACCATTGAAATCAATAAATTATATTCTATTAGAGAGCATCTTTTATCTATTGATGTTGGAGGTCTCTATTCTACTGGTCCATTTGTCTGTACCCATAAACCATCCATAATGCACTGGGCTGTATGTATGTGAAAGGTCAATGTGTTCAATATTCATATATGAGTACGTACTATATAATTAATATTAATGTACCCTTTTTGCACATTTGTCACACTTAAATATTAACTCTCATCAAATCATTTTTAATATACAAAGAAGACAACTGCTGTGAATATATATGTGGGGGGCACAGTTGGTAGAGCATTCGCCCACTGATCTGAAGGTTGGCGGTTCGAATCCAGCTCTCGACATAAACATCACAGGTTGACGGTCAGATCCACTGACCCACAGGTTGGCTGGTGTGATTCCAGCTCCCACAGATGAATGCTGCCGTTGTCTTGGGCAAGACACTTAACCCACCTTGCCCACAGTGTCTGCGTACACTGGTGTATGAATGGTATGGTTCCTTGTTGTAAAGCACTTTGACCACCTTGAAGGTGGAAAAGCGCTATAGAAAAATGTGACCATATAATGCACTTTATGAATGATTAAATTGGGAGAAAAGCTGTTCAACCCTACACAGACCTACACCTTGTGCCTCGGCTCAATTTCATTTCTCTCCAGTGACTAGGTCAGGAATCGGAATACACTAGAGGGTTCGCAAAAACCCCGGAAGTGCGAGTGCAGGCACCAGCCAATCAGCGAAAAGCCATACATTCTGTGTTGGTAACGATTCCCGAGGTCAAGAATTTTACGTCGGAACAAAGAGAATGTTTGGTGAATTTTATCAAGGGGAAAGACATTATTGACTTTTTCCTACGGGATTTGAGAAAAGCTTAATATACCAGTTAGGCCTGTTAGTGGAGCATTACATACGTCATTATCAAATAGCAGCGATTGGTTAAATAAAATAAAAATAACCACCTATCATTGAGCAAACGATTCCTAATTCTGCGAGGTCAGATGGTTTCCACAGTGAAAGTGAAACTGGCTGAGGAATCAGGCTAACACAGACCCCCATTGCAAAAAAATACAACAAGGGAACAGTTATAAAACAATTGCAAGGCATTTGAACATGAATTAGATCAAATTAAATAACACACTACAAGTAATACATATTTACATGAGCTGTTTATATCCAGAAAAAGTAACTATTCTATGAAAATGTTAAGAAATCCATAATGGAGTCACATGGCTGGTTTTACTCTTTTATTAGTAATATGTTGTAAGTTGCTCTATTTTATACTTAACATTTTTTCCAAAAAGCCAACCTCACTCATTGCAGCCTGGAGGCACAGCTGTAAAGAACTCTCCAGATTTTTATGAGGCAATAGATGGATTTTATAGGGGTTAAGATGTATTTATCATTTATGAGGATCGTTCGGCTGCATATCAAGCAGTGCGCTGTGTTTTTAAGTGTTTGTATAGAAAACCATTTGCTTCAAGTTTTATGTTCATAATAAAATCAAAGGCAATGTGGGGGTATTGAAAGTGTGAAGTCATCTAGCTAGGAGCCACAGTAGAGTTGCAACTTTCTATAAACATTACCATGGAGTGACTTGCGTTTGTGTTTTGTTTGGTGTTGGCTACAAACTGCTACTAAGTGGATTACATTGTTAGTCACTGGTGTTATAAAAGCAACACTATGCACAAGAAAACTGAGCAGCTTGTGACATGACATCCTGGCAGAATGTATTTACCAATGTATATCATACCAAACTACAGATCAATTGATATGGGTTTTGTATTCCAATAATGTGGAGGCGAATTGAAATCACTGTGAAACCAGTTAGCGCCTGTACAGTGTACTGCTCTACATAAGAAAAATTAAACTAGATGTTTTTCACTTAAGGCAGTCAGTCCAAATACAATCTCTGCCTATGTGGGAGCTTAAATGCTAATAGCTGATATGCTAAAAAGTGCAAATACCTGTCAATAAACAAAAAATGCATATGGACCTTAAACATTATTGGAAAGCTGCAAACTGTACTCATGAAGAAATGATAAAGGAAAAAAAAGTATTGCATAATTTAGTTACCTCAAAAGCTTATTCAGAATTTACTTTTTTTTTTTATTGTGAAAGTTAGCTGTAGTTTGCGAGCATCTAAACTCTCTCTTTTCCTATCTTCCTAACAGCTGCGATATTTTCAAGTAGCAAAGTGTAGCCTGGTCTAATGCTCTGAGCACTTGTCTGTCCAATTACAGCCCATGTTTATGTCAGATGCAGCTCTCGTTATCTCCGTGCCTCTCATAAGGAGCCATCTCACTCTGACAGCGTGAGGCTCGTCCACATTGTTTGCACACAGATAGATGTTCAAACAGGATAATGGTCATGTTTCCGGGCAGATATTTGTGTAAAGTACCTGGCAACATGGTTCACCACGGGTGCAAAGTTTGTGGGTCCATAGAGCTGCACCGTCTTCAGACTTTGATGGTATGCCTCCAGGATGCCCTCCATGCCATTACAGTATGGATTGTCCACATTTCCATTCTGAGGGACAGAAGTACCAAAAACAAATATACTCATGTTTCAAGTTTATGAAGCAGAAATACTGGTCACACTCAATAACACTTAAAACTTAATTCAGTGAACTAATAATAATAGTTTTAGTAGCTACTTAAATCATTCCCTAACTCCTTCAGTAGGTTTAGGGTACTGAACTACTCATAAACCAATAAGTAGTTACTAATCCAGAATCACCCATAACTACCTATTTGTTCATTACAAATTTCAGCTTTGTTCATGCTTTATTAAGGCTAGATAAGGCATATAATATTGTTGAAGAATAAATTGTAGTAGCTTGAGAGTTGAACAGAAGAGGAGTTCTAACAGGAGCTCTGAAGTTCTAACAAAAGGAGAAGTTTATTTAAGATATGAGATCAGTATGGGATGGGAACAAGTACCCTTAGACATGAACCCGTAGGATATTGTGATAGTGCGGTCCATCCTAATGTACAGTACAGTCTGGCTATGCTTTTGTTGTAGGGAGTATTATAGCTCTGATAACTCAGCCTGAGATAACAGGGAACTAAGTGGGCAGTGACAGCCCTCAGTACAGCACAGAAATGGAATTTCTCTAAAAAGATGTGTGCAAAATCCCTCAGTTGTTCAGGTAGAGTCCATGGCAAAAAGAGAAATTCAATTTGTGAATTGGACAAAAGTTTATTTGGTCGAATACGTTTCACAGCTCACCCAAGCTGCTTCTTCAGTTCTGGTCAAAATGCTGGTGGATACTTCCTTATATCTGCCTGAAAAACTTTCATCCAGTTGACAAATTGCATTTCTCCTTTTGCCACAATTTCTCTAAGAGTCATTATAGTGGGAGTGAAATACTTTGCATCATATCTTGTATAATGCTATTGGGAAACTGAAACATTTAGACCAATACCCTCTCTTTTTATTCCTGTGGTAATGCTACTTTTTGCATTGCAGGATAATGTAATAATTGCTGTAGTCCTCATTTATAACACATTTTTACCCTTAAACTGCTTTTACCCCTGCTGCCAAAATTATCCCTCTTTATATGATACCACAGAAAAGATTATGAAACTGCACTTTGAATGGGTGGATTTAACAGTTTCAAATTTCCTCTGGGATCACTCAATCACATCAAAGTTAAAATTTCCTCCTCTTTCACCCAACAAAACAACATGACCTGAAAATAAGAAACCAACTTTAATACACCCAGAAGAAAAAAATATGGTAAAATATGCGCTATTAAAGATAACTATGTATTTTTGGTTGGGTGGGTTTATAGGCTTTTGATTTCCTTGGAGATTGACAAAATATTTTTCTAATCTATTTCCAAATACCTGTTTCCTTTGGCATTAACAGTATCTCATATAAGTGAAAATCTAATTATGCTGTCATACAACTAAGTAATCTATATCTGATCTTAGCTGGGCCTTAGTAAACCAAAACATAACTCAAAGGTACACTGTGTAACTTTTCTGGTGGAGGCTCTGCCATCTGCTTGTCTCCAAGGTGATGCTATTACTTTGCATGGGATGTCCCGCAGTATGGCATTAAACAAATATATCTTGTATTTATTCAATTATAGGTGTTTTTATTTCTCAAAACTACCACAAATCATGCATTATTATTGTGAGCAGGCCCACTTCTCTACAGATCTGACCTGTAACTTGGCCTGGTAATGTGACTGCTTGTCTCCATGGAGATAGATAAATTAAATGCTATACTGTACAGCCCTCCAGGAAAAAACAATAACATTTACATCAAGTGTAGCCTTGACCAGAAAAGCTACACAGTTCACCTTTAACATCATTCATAGCATTGGTGACTTCTCTGTCAAACTGAGTATCAAAAGACTCCAAATAAAAGTGTTTTCACCCTTAAAAACCTCACAGCCAGAACTAAAGCGACTAAGCATGGAAAGTCTACTGAAACGTGAACAGAAGCATGCATGGTATCTGGACTACGAGCTGCTCATTACAGCCGCCCTATTCAGCGGTATGGGAACATTAGGCAGCCGTGAGGAGCCAAATTGATTTGAGAAACCTTCAGCCTGATTTGCACTATAAAAGTAAATGGTTCACAGTGAATCATGCATGCCGGAGGTGTAGCTGGATTCAATGGGAAATGCACAAATCCATAGAACATGAAAACATGTTTCGCAAACATGTATGTGAATGTTAACAGGGAAAAGTGGTGAGTGCAGCAGTGTTGATGAGTAAACATGACCATAAACCTTAAAAATGTTGCCCAAACAAAATTATTTTATGTTGTTCTTTTTGTGCTCTTTACATTGCAGTATAGGTTAATAATGGCTTCAGTTCTATATAATGGATTTGTGCTGCCGCTAACCAGCTTTATGTAATACCACAGAAAATATAATGAAACTGTATTCTAACTGGATTGATTTAACAATATTTTCACAAAATCAAGAAATCAATATGACCTGAAAATAAGACTTTTGAAGACATTTTAACAAATTGTAAATGGTCACATTTTTATACAGCGCTTTTCCACCTTCAAGGCACTCAAAGCGCTTTACATCAAGGGACCACTCCCATTCACACATACACTCACACATCAGTGTATACAGACACTGGGAATGAGGGGGGTTAATTGTCTTGCCCAAGGGCACAATGAAAACATTCATCTATTGGAGCTGGAATTGCTAACCTGGGGATTAGTGGTCAAACACCCTACCAACTGAGCAACTGTTTCCCAATAAACCCTCAAGATGACCCGTGGTGTGAGTGCTGTGTATACGAGAAAACATGATCATTAACACTCAAAAATGTTACATAGCTCAACACAGGCCCTAAAGGAGATGGTGAATAAGCATCTGGCATAACTCTCACCAGAGGGAACTCATGGGACACCCGGCCGTCAGGGGGTAGCTTGGCCCCAAAGCCCAGAGCGGGGAACATCTTGTCGCTGTCATAGTCCTGGATGATCTCCCCCACGGCCTTCAGAGCCATGGCGTACGCATTCATCTGGTATGGGTTCATGTAGTGCAGAGATGTAGACTGAGAGGGGTTTCCTGGAGAGACAGGAGGCAGCCAGGCAAAACCTTAGACTAGACTGACAGCTGCAGAGAACAGCGGACTACAGAAGATCAAGTATGTGCAGAAAGAAGGCTGAAGCTTAGAGCACTTTACAATATATATTTTAATTTTAAAAGATCAGGCTTAAAGGGCCCAAACTGAATGTGTGTGATCCATTTAAAGCAACACAGTCAGATGTTTTAACTTTAAAATAATGATTGTAAAGGACCTGCACTTGATTTGAATTACTTCTGATTAAGATTAATGCCCTTTATATCATTCAGTGTATTGTACATGCAGTGATGAGAAGAATATGTTGAAAGTGTAATTACAGAACACTGGAATTAAAATGTATTTTGTATTCCAATACATGAGTCAATCAGAGTACTGTATTTCTGTTGCCCTGTTTGTCATGCAATAACTTATGCATAATTTGAGGAAAAAATACATGCACACACTGACTAATCTCACTAATAATTTACAGTTCAAAGCTACAAAGAAGTAATTTTATTCTGAATACCACCAAATGAAAGAGTACCGTAACTGTACTGGAATACAGTACAGTTACTGAATATGTATTCTCAGTACATGTATTCAGTTACTTACACTGTGTAATAACTGAGAGCAGTTTTCACTCAGTCAGACAGTTGAGAACAAAAGCATAAATGGCAAGAACATAAAACTAAAAAATATAAATGCTGACACTAGGCTGAGTAAAACGATGTAGCTCATTTTGCAGAAAAGTGTTCATCTGTGGATAAGATCAAAACACCATGCACCAGAACAGCAGTGAAAGTCGCACCGAGCTGCTTAAAAAGAAGGAACGAGTCAAGACCAAACTATTTCACTCTTCTCTGATTTATGGAAACGCTGCACTTGTACATCAAAACTAAGGAGCATAGAGACAAGGTGATAGCTGTGGAAGCACTCACCATTTGATGCGGTGAAATCAATGGCCACCGTGAAGTGAATCTGCGTCCTGAAATGGAGAGGAGCAGAGGATGGAGTTATCAAAAGACAGGCACAAAATTCACAGCGGTGCAATTTAAAAAGAGGCTTCAGTTGGCTCAGTCTGCTCCACTATGTTAGATTTTTACAGCAATTTAGATTTCCAACAAAAGGAGTTTATTATGGCAATGGTTGTTTTTTCTGTGCATGTGTAATACCATATGTAATACATTTTTTAAATTATTATTATTATGATCAATTGTGTTAAAGCCCTATATTACACAAAATTGACTCTTGTGAGCTTTAATCCATGTTATGTTACGTAATCAAAAATATTCTTACTAGTCTGTCTACATCGCCAACGCTCAAATTGCTCTGTTCCACCTTATGATGTGATGTAGTTGTAGTTTTCATGTTAGCAGCTACCTTTTACCATTTGTTTTAGTAGAGAATGAGAATTCTAGGGTTGAAATTATCCAAAGGATTCTCATGAAGGTGTATGTCATGTATGTATTACCAAGTGACATCACAAGGAGGAACAGAGTGTTTTTAGTTTAAATATGCACAGTTTGCGTGTTAAACATGTGCGAATTAAACAAAACACAATTCCACGTATGTTTTTGATGAGAAACAACATTATAACAGATGTGAGAGAGATACAGTATATGCAGATACCATAATTGACAACTTGAGATAAAAATATAAGTACTTTTTGCTCTCAACGTCATGTATGTTGAATAATAGCAACTTCACACAGTATGATATAGAAGTATTAATTACACTACAGTATTATCATTGCGAGATAGAGCCAGAGCATAGCAGAAAGTCTGAGCTCTTTAAAGAGGTCAGTCTCATATATTTACTTTACACTTTCACAAGAATAACAGTTTTTTATGCACAAAAAACTTCCAAATGACTGTAATTTCCCAAATGATTATGATAAAAGTATAATGAGATTCTGCAGCTGGCTTAATGACTTGACTGCATCACGCTGTGGAAGGATACGACTATTAACAAGGCATCAGAGCAGCAACAAGAAAATTAGAGCAAATAGACACACGTAGTTGGTGAATTTCATTTTCTTTTCAAGTTTATGCAAAAATATAGTGCCTTCACGGATAATGTCGGAAAGGCTTTTGGCATTATTATTAGCCTGCCATCTACTGCACTTTTTATGGTCAATCTGGGGGAAATAACAACCTGAAAAAAAATCTCAAGAAATGTTTTATGCATGACTTTATGACTCTGGTCCAAACCCTTGATGAGAAGAAATAAACAGGATCTAACTGGTCTCTGTTGGATGGTGCAGTCCCAAGAAACAGCAGATCAAAGTGTAGCCTGTTTCATTGTGATTAACTCTGATTGCCTTCCAAGCTTCACCCCATTCAAAAAAAACTCCCGTGAGCCGCACACCAGATAATATCGGCTTCCTCCGGGGGGGCTGTGACCTCTCATCAATCAGTATTGAGTTAGAGAGCTCCCAGTTCACAAAAGGGGACTGGATACAATGGCCGCTGGACCTGATGTTTGAATGAGTGCTGATTTTCTGAGCAGTGAATATAGCGAGTTTTAACAGGTTTTAGCTGGTTTTAGCAGTAGCAGGACAGGTGGTGTGGAGTTGGAGATGTGGTGCAGTAAAGTGGAGACAGAGGAGATGGTCAGACAGAGGTGTCAGTCAAACTGGCCATTAGGTCATGAGAGCATTCAGCCCATTCAGAGCCAGAGTAGGCTTAAAGTATATGATCCAGGGTGCCCATATAATATGGCCATGCTGGTTAAACATTTTCATTTCATTTCATTTTTTAAAATTTTTGTTAGAGCAAAATATAACAAAACCACAGCAAAGATATGTACATGTACATATTTGGGACCTGGTTCTCAAAAAGAGTAGGATGAAGTTTAATAAACTTATAGTCTCCTACCCCAATTGTTTTAAATAATCACATGGTTGACACCTTTTTCTTACACCTCTGGAGTGCTTACCTGTCATATGTACTGCATAAATATACACTCGTACATACATATGTACATACATAATTACACATACATACTTACACATATGCACCTAAAATATCCAGTACATATATTCAATATGAATATATAACGCACATAAATACATATGCATAACATATATACAGTATGTATACACACACACATATATTTTTGTTTATGGTTGTACAAACTAATTATAATTATATAGAAAGCACAAAGTTTATCATTTGTGATCATACAAAATAGAAATTAGAATGAAAAATTTAAGGATTTTATGTTTCCGTTTATGGTTGTACAAACTAATATCACTGATGAAGAAAGACATTAATCACATATATTATATATTTCTACACATGTAGTAATGTAGTGTGTATTATGTATCAGGTTCTTCTTTCTAATTGTTTTTATTTTCTAAAAACACAACTGCAAAGAAATAAACTGAAATACATTTTGAAAATCCAGTAACTAATAACCTATTTCCACTTTCACAGACATATACTCTCTGAGAAAGTGAAGCATAGCTTGGATATTTTAAGGGTTTGAAAGAATGCGTCATGACACTTGAACATTTTTCTCTAGCTTTAGATGTGCATATTTAGATGTGCTTCATTTGCCTCTGCATTAACCATTTTTAAAAAAATATTTTCTTTACTAAACAGAAATATGTTTACTGCTCTTTTACTGCAAAAAGTCATACACTTATCTGATTCTTATGCTATAGTTAACAAACATGGAATAGTCTGTATATGTTCACACAAAAGAACTGCTCCTCATGGTGTAATCTTTTCTTAATCTGCAAAAGTACAATTGATACAAAATGTACAAGGTTTAGGTTTCATTTATCAAGTAGTTCACGAAAGGTCAGTGTGTTATTTCTTTAGAAGAACTCATCAAACAACCAGACACATAAGACATATTTTCCTCTCTAATCTTTCTCTCTTTCTCCAAAAACAACAGGATTTACTGCCTCCTCCTCTCCTTCACTTTGTCTTAGTCCTTTAGAATCTGAAGCATTTGTAAGTCATATTCTGGGCCCCTGTGTGATTGATGCTCTGCTGTTGTTTGGGCATCTGACGCACCTTCCTTCATTTCCTAAATTTGCCTCAAGTGTATAAATCTGAGCCTGGCTTCTCTTTTGCAACTCAAATCTGTAAAAATCTGTCAGAGCAGCGCATCTTTGGGGAGGTTTTATAATACCACCAATTCACTCTGCTCCTGTCTCCGAGTGCCAGCCCTGCCACAGGTTTGAGCATCACCTTGAAATACAGCCTCAGACTTGGTTGACTTTGCGGTTGCCATTCGTAAACACCATATGGCAGTGTTCTTTGTAAAGAGAAGTCCCGGTAGTCGTGGCAATCTGCTATCAGAGAATACTAAATGTAAACAAAGGAAGGAATGCAGTAATGGGAACCCATAGGTAAACAAATGGAGTTGGAAAGTGGCCAAAAACGTCAGTGAAGCGTGCATTGTTATAGTGATCACCTGCAGCACTCAAGGACAAAATTGAAGAGGCTGAGACTTTGTTTACACTGTTGTATCCTGTCCTGTTTTACTATTTAACCTTTGTTCTGGTTTACACTGAAATTATTTTAATCCTGTCCTACATCTTGGGACAGTATGTCATTTCAAATGGGTTTAGTAAAAGGATTAATCTATATTTTCTTTAGAACTCTCAAGTTGTTTTCTCCGTGCATTAGTATTATGTTTTTAGCTTTGAGTTAATAACTTGTATTTTTAGAGGATAATTTAAGATTTGAAGATAAATTATGTAACTTTTCTGGTTGCAACTGTGACATGAAGATGTTCCAAAGCATGGCATTAAGCTAATCTATCTCCATTGAGACAAGCAAGTGATGCCACCTGACCAAATTACAGGTCAGATCTGTGGAGAGGAGATCACACTTACAGTATAAGAATGCGTGTTTGTCAAGGAATTTCTTTAAGCAATGAACGACTGTAATTGGATTAATACATGATGAACAGGTTTAAGACTGTGGAAAATTCCAGGCAAATGAGGCAAGCACCACCAGAAGTTACAAAGTTACATGGTGCACTTTAAGGTATTTATCTATTAAACAATGGACATGATGTAAATTGTTTCATGACATGATTTATTGTACATTGAATAGACTACAACACATTTGACAAGAAGAGTTTCAGGGAGGAATAAAAAAACAATACAGTGCACGCTCCACATATCCTGTTCCTTATTTCTTTGTTTCTACAAGACCAGACTTACTGAGCCCAATACAAGTTAAAAAATAGCATTAGATGAACTTTTATGCACTGAAAGAATTTTTGTCTTAATGACCATCTCAAAAGCGGTGACACTGGGTGTCATGGCCATCGACTGTATAAAAGAAGTGAACTAAATGAGTGTGACGTCACCCATAGTGTTTAGCTCCACTTAAATGTAGAACCCAATGGTAATGTTTGCAGGAGCGAATTTGGAGCCAGGCTCCATATTTGGAAATCTGACCCAGAGTATCATAGCAACCACAAGAGCCAGTCATGATTGAGGTTGTTAATTGTGCCTGCCTTTCTCACCAGAGTGTCTGCCCTTCGAAGAGCAGTGGCGATCCTACACACATTGGTGCCCCCCGCACTGGACATCGAAGATCTTCAAAGGTCTTATAGCACTGTGGAAAATGAATATTGGTATTCTTAAAAATTAAGCAGTTGTGCAGGAAATTTAAAAAGAAATGCAAGACTGTATTGCTAATATACATGAACAGATAGAACCAACAATTCTCTGAGATACTATCAAAGCAGTCATGAGAGAGAACTTTCTATCAATCATATCCCATATCAACAAAATAAAAAGGCTAGCGCCATCTAAAGTAGCAACGACTGAGGAACTTAGAAAAGCAACAGCACACAGATACAAGGGAGACCTTGGCAGAAGGTATAAAAGATGTGAGGACACAACTGACTGAGTTGGCAGCTCAGAAGATTGAAAAGATTGACAAAACAAACATTTTATGAATCAAGCCCTAAAGCTACTAAAATGTTGGCAAAACATCTAAGAGCTAAGAGCAC